CGAGGTGCTCCCAAAGTCCCGAGTAAGAAGAGGAGTAGTAACAACCATTTTTGGGTAGAATTCATCCTTAAAATTGGCTGGTAAGGGAAGGATTGCCCAAAGTGATTATAAATTCACAAGAAGGAACTTTCATCTAGGATACAATTAGATCATTACGGAAGGGTATGGTAAAAGCCTTTTTTGCGCTGTTAAGATTGACATGGAAGTAGGAAGTCTTTTAAACTAAAAAATAGAAGTCTTTTTAAACTAAAATTTATACTTGCAGTCTCTTTCTGACAAAAAAAAGGGGTTCTTTAAAATTACTTTTACTGCTCAATTTCTATATGATGTTAAAGATGCATACCAATGAAGTATTTGTTGACGATTTCTGGGGATGCATACTTTCGATCAATCTGGGTCATCTGCCCAATTTTCTCTTCAAGTGTCATTCTTCTCATCAAGTCCTTGATTCTGTCACTCAATGGCTGCTTTGGGTCTTTGTATTTCAAGTACTCTGCTTCCGCCCAGAAACAAAATAGCGCCAAAATCATCATCCGTAATGCCAAACTCGCCATGCCCATCACCCAATGATATCGAAAATTCAGTATCAAAATCACAATTTACTGGGGTTTAGCAAGAAACTTCTGATATCATGAAATCTCAAAATGGATTTTGCCCCAGCCCCTAGATTTCATATAAAATTGGAATGCGGGTGGGGTCAGGGCGTGTTTTTTTCTGTAAGAGTTTTTTATGTTGGTTTTCTCTATGTTTTTCCCAGATTCATCATCTCTGAAGTGGATTTGTGTTTTCATAATATTTTCTGTTACAATCAATCAACTGTTAAAATAATGCATTATTATAATAATTTCTGTTTATCTTAGTCAGGTTTGAATTTAGTATCCATTATTCATCTGACGAGGCTGCCTTATCCATTGCAATCTTTAAAGATTGATTTTTGGATATAATTCTTATATCAAGATTGACTCGTGATATTGATGAATATTCAAGGAGGCAGTATTGATTTGATTCTATCTTCAATTTCTTAAAAAAGAATGATTTTTTTTAATTGTTGAATCTCTCTCGATCGTCCAAAAAAACATACAACGCAGCGCAAATTCTTTCCATTGTAGCACATTTAGCCTCACTTCTTTTAAATGAAAATTAATAGATTTCAAGAAGATTAAGTTGAGCCGCTTCGTTCACTAAGCTCGGGCCCACAAGCGAAATCACTTATTATGTCTTATATCAAATGAGTAATGCTATTATCACTCATCTACGTGACAATGAACCTTTAATTCATTATTCAGTGCCCGTTTTGTTTTGATTAAAATTCGATTTTAATTTAAGTCAAAATTAAACAATCAATATTAATCAAATCTTTCATAGAAATCTCAATTTTTCAACCATACATCAAAAACTTTTATCAAAATTTACTAAAAAAAAATTTAATTTTAATCCCCACTAAACACATTTTCAATAAATTTGATATGCATTTTGATTTATTGAATAATGAAAGATGGCTCATTAACTGATTTTAATCGCTCATGGTGATATTTAGCATCATCAAGAAGTTATGAATGTGTCCATTGGTTAAACCTGTGAAATTGCTAAATAGTACATGACAGCTATATGTGCCATTGAGGACAACATACACCACGTATAAAACGAGGAGTGCACAAGAAATTAATTCTTGGAAAAATAAAAATGAAAATATTATGTCAAAAAAAAAAAATTACACCAAGCCTCTTTTCTCAATGTCACTTGAACCGTTTTCATTTTATAAATAAATAAATTATCAAGAAAAAAAATCATGGACCTTGTAATGTCTAAAAATATGAAGTGTTTGGTAGGGATTAAAATTAGATTTTTTAGTAGATTCAAATAAAAGTTTTCGAAATGCGATTGGAAGTTGTAGGATCTATGTAATTAATATTGATTGTTTGATTTTGACTTAAATTAAAATAAAATTTTAATCCGACCCAAAGAGGCTCTATATATAACCATCTACAGATGAGGGGATATCAAATCATTGGGCTGCTAATGGCTCTTCAGAAGTTGAACGACTCTCATGAATCAAGAAGTCAATCTGTCAAGAGTATTCAGGCGACCTCTAGCAAGCAACCATAGATTCATGGCATGACGGGGAAGTATAGCAGAAAAGTACTCTAGCTTGCTTGTAAAACCATGGTCAGCGAACAAAACATCAGCAATGCCCCCGGCAGCCAAGCAGCTGATGACTAGTCCAATTTCGCAAGGTACGGTTCCATAACAATTGGACTGCTTGAAATGATAACGGCAACATATGTAACAACTTCACAAACATTCGCGTACTGCCAATAGTTTCTGAATAAGGTACTTTAACAACAACGACAGTGGCATAAGAGAATCGTTACGATTTCAAGAATTTTAAGTCGGGATTTTTCGTTGTAGATCACATCTGTAAGGGGATCGTCAAGGTACTTCTCAACAGTTAAATTTGTAGTACCTATCCAACAAAATGAAAAAGATGTAACATGTAAACTTTCTAGTAAGACTTAAATTCATTCCCTTTGATATAGTATCGAACCTCCTCGTCTAATAGAACGTTGTTATATATTTATAAGTTATAACATACCAACTCTGATATTGCCTGAAG